CGGAAGAAGAAATCTGCTTCAAAAGCCTTCAGCCTAGTTAAGGAGGACTATGATGCCCTATTAATATTAATAAGGTTTTAATAATAAAGAATAGCCTTAAAATGCCATTGAAAAGTTTTGTAATGGCTGCTATACCTGCTTCAACCACGGGATGGATGGCACTGTTTTTTGACCCTTAATAGCATCCGATAGCTTCAATAGATAAATAAAAAATAATAATAATCTTAAAATCATGTTAAAAGGGTTTATTTCCGGCTCTCGGTCGCATTCTTACAGAAGAGGACCAAACGAGTGGCCGGGGAGGAGGCGGGAGAGGGGGAAGGTGGGGATCCCCCGCTAACTAGGTAACAGAGAAAGCCGGTATCTTTCTGGAAACAGGCAATGCGGGGATGGCTCGGCTCACTTGAGGCAGTAAAAGGCTTCCTTTTTTCCTTCCTGCGGCCTCGCCGGTAGACGTGCGCTCCGTCAACATAGTGCAGAAAAGAGGACGGGAAAAAGCAGGGGACCGTGCTGCGAACGGACAGGAAATTGGGTACAGCCTCGGCGGATGGACAGGAACTCGGCCGTACTGGGAACGTCGTCGTCGGTGGTCACGCTACGGGACGGAAAACTGTGCCCTCCTGTGGTCAAAAACGGGTACTGCGGTCGCCGAAAAAAATAAAGCTTTTAAATGGGATTTTAAGGCTATTTATTTCCCCCCCGTCTTTATTAGTAACCTCTTCTTAATATTAATAGGGCGACGGGAGGCCCTTTTGCCATTTTCAAAGGTTTATTTCTTTCGGTGGCTGCTATACCCGGCTTGGCCACGGGAGGGCACTGTTTTCCCTCCCTTAGCGATAGCGGCATTGAGTCCGTGGAAAAGGCTTACGATGGCCTCGATGGTAATGCTAGGGGACGGGTATTGCGGCCGCCAAGAGAAAGAAGCCTTTTTAATTGGGTTTTAAAGGCTTACCTCGTTCATCGGACGTGGAGTGCGCCGTGCCCAGAACGAGCCGGCGGAGATGCGCAGAAGGCCGACGAAAGCGGCCCGTCCCTTTCGGAGGAGCATAGAGTTGGCGACGCTTTTGCCTGACGCTCTGCGCTTTGGGGCTTTGCTTCTCGATCGATCTTACGCAAAAGGCCTACGAGGGCCTGAATGCTAATACTATAGGCCGGGAAACCGTGCCCTCCTGTGGTCAAAGCGGGTATTGCGGCCGCCGAAAGAAAGAAACCTTTTTAATGGGATTTTAAAGTTATTATTCTCTATCTTTATTAACATCTTATTAATATTAATAGAGCGACAGGTGGCCCTTTTGCTGCGACACAGTTGCAGAATTACATGGCCTAATATTAATGTTTTATTAATAAGGAATAATAACCTTAAAATGTCATTAACAAGATATGTTTCTTTTTCTGGCTGCTATAATTTTAATGCCACCCACTTTCCAACAACTCAAGTTGGCTCGTAAAAGGCAATTACAATAAAAAACAGTAAAAGATTTTTTTTTATTTTGCTGGTTTTTATCTTTGAGAGAAAAAAGTGACCCCAAAAAGCGAGGTAAAATTACTTCCTTTTCTAAAAGGTATGTCTTAGTGAAAGACAACTAACAAAAAAGGACGCATCCATTCCATACATGGAAAAAAAAACTCTTTAATATAAGGTATATTTGTCAGTTTTGTTTCTTAATCTCAACAGACAGCAGGGACAGGGCCAAGAAAAAAAAGCAAAGATTGAATTGGGACCTCTCTCTCCAGGTTTTCCCACACCTTTCTTAAGTATTCGCTCAGTGTTCAACTTGCCTTTCAGGTTTAACCTGACATATGGCCTCTGCCTTATACCAATTAGGCAGAAGATTAGACTTCTCACCTGCACAGTAGGGAGGAGAAGCATCTTGGTTTAGGATAGCAGAACATCAGAAGGCATCTGGTAGCATTTTTCCCAAGTAGCCAATGCTACTAAAAGCATAAATCTTTCATGAGCTGCAAAGTTGTCTGCCTTTTGATAAATGTTTTAGTCAGAAAAGATGCTACCAGTCTACCTCTGATTTTTTTTACACTTTATACACTGTTAGTTTTGCTTCTGTTAACAACCATTCATTTCTTGCACAGGTCACATTTCTTCACAGCACTATTTTTGATACTCAGAATTGAATCATTCAATATTTGGATCTTTTTCATGATTGAACTGGGTGAAGACCATGAATTCAGGGTGGGTTTCTTTAGCCTAAGGAAGGCAGGGGGATGAGGAGGAGGAGGAACTCAAAAGTTCTGCCACAGAGAAAATAGACTATGAATAGAGGAGATTTAGGCTGAGAAAATAATATGGGGTGTGTGTATGTGTGAATTAACCCTTGTAACAATACTTTGGTCTAGACTCTAGATGATGATGGAGAGAATATTTTAACAACTTTTATGTTCTGGAGGAAAATAACACCTCTGAGTTAAATGCAGATTTCTCATGTCTATGTGGAATGGATTTGCCTAGCATCTTCCCCTTCCAGCCCCTTTAAAGCACCCTCATCTCTGCTACAGCAATTTGTACTTCTTGCTTCTGGATGCACACCTTCACTGAATATTTTGCATCTAAGATACCCTCATGCGTCAATCGTTATCATGCATCAGTTTTTACACAGAACTATGCAATTAAAATATTTAGTCACTGTGTGTGTATCCCTTTGCTTACCATTCATCCATTCTGGAAAAACTCTACAATTTCTTTGATGATCCTTTTGTTTCTTTTTCTTTTTATCCATCATTTTGCAATGCCTGGTTCCTAAAGCTAGACTTTTCAGTGAATGTGGTAGACATCTTCAATCTCGGAAGAATCCCTGGCAGAATCCCGCTTTTTAGTTCTTTAGATGCCATTTTGTTTTGTCATTATCATCCATAAAAATACCCAGTCTTCAGAAAGATAACCAGCTGAAGATAAACAAAGTAGTGGCAGTTAATTCATTAACAATACAAATTTGGAGAAAATAATGCATTTTATCACCAAATAAGAAAGAGAAAAAAAAGATTACAATGCAGCAGGAGGCAGATAACAGGAGCCACCAAAACCAATGATAACTAGCATATGAAAAGGCCGGCTGGCTTTGTAATGACCATGAGGGCAAGGCAGTTCAACCTTCCCTGGCGTGAGAACTGCCCTACTGTTTTATAGGTAGTCCTTGACTTATGACCACAATTCACCCCAAATTTCTGTTTCTAAGCGAGACAATTGTGGAGTGAGTTTTGCCCCATTTTACGACCTTTCTGGCCATACTGAGGACAATTAACCAGTGGAACAGCTTTTGCCTTCAGAAATCGTGGGCGCTCCATCACTGGAGGTTTTTAAGACGAGACTGGACAGTCACTTGTCTGAGATGATAGAGGTTCTCCTGCTTGAGCTGGGGGGAGCGGGGGGCTGGACTAGAAGACCTCCAAGGTCCCTTCCAGTTCTGTTCTATTTGCTGCCGCTCTGCCCTTCGAAGGCTTCACTCCTCAGTTGCCCCAGGCGGCAGGGGGGGGGGGCGCTGTTCGCTGGAATTTTATGCTCAGTTCCAGCCATTCCTGGAGCACGAGTTTCTTCCCTTCTGCTCCCCCCTTTCCCCCTCCTGTGTGTGTGCGCGTGTGTTCCCCTTTTCTCCTTGTCTGCCCATCAATGTTGCCTCCTGGCGTCTGCCTGGACAAGTTAAGACAATCAGTTGCCGGCCCCTTTCTGGGGCTGAGAGGCGGGCACGGCTGGCTTGGTGGCCATGGTGGGACTCGAACTCACAACCTGCCCAGTGTCTGGCCTTGTGCTCCGACCGACTGGGAACGTCGTCGGTGGTAATGCTACGGGACGGAAAACTGTGCCCTCCTGGAATCCCCCCCTTCCTTCTTCTGGCTGGCTCCTCTGGCCATTGTTTCTCTTCCAAGCTGCTCTTGACCGACCCCCCAGCATATGGGGGGGTCTGCTGCCCAGGCAACCCCCTCCTGAGAGTGGTCGTTTGGGGCAGTTTCCTTTCCATTGGGGATCCTTGTGGACAATCCTTTGGCCTATCTTTTCTACCCTTTCTCTGGGAAACCCATATTCCCAGGTTTCTTCAGCCAGACATTTCAATTCTTGCACGGTTCGTCCCATCATTCTCGGTACCCCCCCCCCCAATCCCACAGCTGTCCTTCGCAAATCTCCATTATCCAAAAACTCCATAGGAGGATAAGAGTTATAGAATCAATTGGTTCTCAATGGTTCTCAAATCAATACATAGGTCTAAATCGCTTTCCTTAAATACGCTTCATGAGCTACATTTTCTTTGAGTTAACAACTGCAACAACCAGCTGAATGTTTTGAGGCCGAAGCCATGTTAGAAATTGTACGTACATTATGAACAGAGAGGATCAAGGAAAAGTATTTGGAGAGGAAATTAGTGGAGCAAAGAAAGAGAGAGAATGAAATTTCACAAAATGGGGCACTGAATGCAAAGCTTGCTGTTTTGAACATGGAACTGACTATTTTGAGCACCCGGAGCATGATCTAAGCTGCAATAAGCTTGCAGAATGCTCCAAATGGGTCAAAATGAAACTCTTAACCAGACCCCAAGCTTTTTGTTGTCCCACTGCAATTAAGCATTTCTTTAAAAAGTACACTTTCTCTGCTGGGCTACATGTTTTTACTCAGAAAATAATTTGGTGTTGGAACTAGAACTGGGAGATCATAACAGTTTACTGGATGATTTGGGTGCAATCATTTCTCTCTATTGCTGGATCTATTAGGGCTGATGCTGTGGGGGAAAACTAAAGGAGAAAATGCAGATCAATAGACAAATAATACTGAGAAAGGAGATTTCACAGATGCTTCAATGTCCTGATATTCAGAATAAAATCATTGTCTGGAAAACATTAACAGGGGCCTGGTTCAATCCTTGTCATCTTGGAATAATTATCAAAATGATGTCTGTTAAAATCTTCAAACATCCTACTGCATAAGGCAGGCTACTGTCAGATTCAGTACTGGAATTCTGAAACACAATACTTGCATGTTAAAAAGAACAAATACATGATTCAAGATAGACCTGGAACGTTTTATTCTTCGTCAACTATGCCCTCCTGTCATGCAACAACAATTATTCTTATCTATTTGTTTAGAACCATGTTTGTTTCATATACAGAAAACATATTATGAAGCACCCTGATTATGTAAACAAATCAAACTATTTCAGCAGAATTAAATTTGGGTCCTTAAAAATATCTGGAAATTTAGCTTTACTTCTGATTGACTGAGATTACAGTACTAGAAGTGCAAAGTGTGGCACACAGATCCATCCTGCAAAGGGAGAGAAACAAGAATTGTTGACTACTTTCTGTGCATAATTAAAAGAAACAGCAATCCGATGCATGATAGAAAGTGTCTTGCATTGCCACGTGGGATTTACCTTACTTTATGGCATAAAGTGATCCGTTACACCCAAAGAACAGTCGAGAGAGAGAGAGAGAGAGAGAGAGAGAGAGAGAGAGAGAGAGAGAGAGAGAGAGAGCGCCCCGCAGGACCTTTGGCTCAAGTCTCCCTCCTTCAGTCCTTTGGCTTGAAGAAAGAACAAAGAAGGCTCAGCTTTTACCAACGATGGTAAATGGTTCCACCTTTGCTTCACCAATTCATGACATCAAGCATTTTTTTCACTGAGCAAGTCAGTTACGGCTGTCTCAGCAGCGTCCCTTCCCCAAAGCGCAGGGGGAACCCACCTCCCCACCAATGGTCTTCCTCCTTTAGCTGTTCATGAGCCCCTTCAGGAGATCCTCCGAGAGCTCCACCAGAGGGAACTCCGGGGAGGGAATGTCCAAGGGTGGAAGGCTGGGGATGGGAATGTCCTTGGCCTTCCCAGCACTGACAGCCAATTTCTGCCAGGGGGTGGCGGCGGCGGCAGCGGCAGGTTCCGAAAGCTGCTGGAGGCCCCACAGCTCTGACTTTTCCACAAAGTCAGCATCTGCATCCAGCTCCTTTTCCAGGGGAGACTTCAGCAGCCTGGCTCTCTCAGCTTTTAACTGCTGGTTCTCCCGTCTCAGTCTCTCATTTTCAGCAAACAGCATCTCCACGTGCTGTTCTAGGACTGCAATTTTGGTGGCCTGCTCCTCCATTTTCATCTTGTCATCCTTTGGAGGTCTGTTGTTCATACACACTTCCAGAGGCGGCTCCTTCCTCTTCTGAAGCAGAAAGAGCAATGTGTCTGGATCCCTGTCCAAGACCCCACGGAACCCTTTCCTTTCCTTCTCCGAGGAGGGCCTGTACTTGAGGCTGGCAGGCGTTCCGTGTTGGTCATCAGGTTCCCCAGCTGAGGCCTTAGAGGAGCTCTGCAGATGGGCCGTGCTCTCTTTGTCCACAAGAGGGCGGATTTTTAATCTTTCGTCCCTTTTTGCTCTTTTCCATTGTTCTTGGATAAGGGGGATCTGTTTCAGGTGACTCTCCCTTTGCAGTTCCAGGGATAATTGGGCCTGCCGAGAAACAAAAGAATAAGTCGCCTTTATCAGCTTCTCGTGGAATGAGTTTTGGCATCTGAAGAAGTTCGTCTTTATGTAAAGCAAGCAACGATGACACACACAGCTGGCCACCCCAGCCCAGCCTTTCCCTCCAGACTGCAGCTGAGGAAGGCTGGTCTTCCTCCCTGGAGAAGCTGGCATCAACCCAGTGGCGAGGAGTTCCACAGGAATAGGAGTGAAGAGCCACACCGTTTGAGGTGGCTGATAAATGATTTTACTTTCTTTCCCCCTGAATTAACTGAGGGCTGCCCAGTTCCTGCACAAGACAGCGAACAACAGTGAGGAATATTTGTGCTCAGACAGAAAATTAACTGACCAAACTCAGCAGTGGGTAAACTCTTATCGTGGGTAAATCTCTATTGTATTTAGCTGTTTATTTGTATGCCAACTTTATTATTTTTTACACGGAACTCAAGGTAGCGACCTCCCCAGCACACCTTCCTCCTCCTCCTCCTGTTTCCCCCATCACAGCAGCCCTGTGAGGTGGGGTTGAGAGGGAATGACTGGCCCAAGGTCACCCAGCCAGCTTTCATGGCTAAGGCAGCATTTGAACTCACAATCTCTAGCTTTCCAGCCTGGTGCCTTAACCATCGGACCAAACTGGCTATTGATGCAGCAATAAATATGCGAGGCATACAAGCCATAATCCCTCCAATATCTGTTATTATTTAAGTGCTAAATTCACCAAAATTAGTACAGGAAGCCCTTGACTTTCAACCATTTGTTTAGCAACTGTTCAAGGTTACAGTGATGCTGAAAAACTGACTTATGACCCGTCCTCGCAGTTACGACCACCACAGTCACAACCGATACTCTGGCACTTGCCAACCAGTGTGTATTTATAATTGTTACAGGGTCCTGGAGTAACATGATCACTACAGGTGACCTTCTCAGTTGAATTCCAGCAAGCAAAGTCAATGGGGGAGGCTTGCTCAATAAGCATGGCAATTTGTTTAACAACTGTGGGAAAAAAGGTTTGAAAATTTACACAACTTGCTTAATGGCTGCATTGTTTAGCACTGAAAATTCTGAGGCCAAATGTGATCATAGGTTGAGGACTGTCTGTTCTTTGCTGGCCAGACTGGACGGGGCTCCCTTTCTTCCCCTCGGGTATGCTGTTTCTTTCTCATTTCCCTCTTACTATGTCTTGGGTCTCCCTCCCCCCCTTCCCCCCCCCACCCAAGCGTCAGGTGCAGCCAAGGTTCCTGGCTGGTATCCGAGTCCCACTGAGGATGGTTCATCGCTAGAGCAGCCGCTGAGGAGGGAAACCTCACCTGATCTGACTGAGTCAACTTCATAGCTTCCAGAAGATACGCTGCATAAGACACAAAATGGTGACATAGTTTAGAGAGGCCCGCTTGCGCAGCAGCCCTTCCCCATCTGAAGCGATCTGGAGGACGGGTGACTCGGTCAGGCAGGGCTTCTGCAGCCCTCTGGCACAGACCAGGGAGGACAAAAGGAGCCCCCCTCCTCCACCCACGGCAACTTTTGATAAGTGAATGGAAAATCACCTTAATTTTCAAACTTGGATCTTCAAGCTATAATTGAAGTACAACTTGGCAGTCAAACTGCTTTCTGCAATCCCTTTACAAGCAACATTGTGAGAAGACCGTAGCTGTTGATTCACTGTAACAATTGTGATTCCGTTTCCGATGACACACTTTTTATTTTTATTTCATTTACATCCTACCTTTATTATTTTGATAAATAATTCAAGGCGGCAAACACAGCTAAAACTGCTCCCTCGTCTTATTTTCCTCAAACAACCAACCCAACCCAGGAGTTGAGAGAGAGAGAGAGAGAGAGAGAGAGAGAGAGAGAGAGAGAGAGAGAGAGAGAGAGAGAGAGAGAGAGAAACTGGCCAAAGTCACCCAGCTGCCATTCAAGCCAAAGGCGGGACTATAACTCCCAGGCTCCTGGTTTCTAGCCCGGTGCCTTCACCACTTCACCCAAAGCCAGACTTTCCACTGTGATCCTTGCCCCTGACCCCGTGACGATCTCACCGGCTCACCACCCTGCGCTGACTTAGCTTCTAGTAGGGAGGCCTGGGGGATTCAAGCAAACACTCACGAAGGCTCACCTGCTGCCTTTCGGTGACACGAAACGGCTTCCTCATACTTCCCCACGGCCAGCCAGCGGTCAGCTTTTCTGCTCTGCTGATGGGCCTAAAAGAAACCCACAACCCAAGCCTTTAAGACACCAGGAGAGCTTGTGGCTGCTTGAATGCCTCTAACGAGAGAGAGATCTGCAGATTAGCTGAACCTGTGGGATGACATGTACATGACTTGCTTTCTACCAAACCACGCCAGAAAGGTTTGCCTGCCTGGATGCCCACTGTCTGGGCAGAAAGCTAAGGGAGCTTGCAAAGTGGATCACAAGACAGGAGAGGGAGAGTAAAACAAGAATAAAATAGACACACAGAACCCTTGTGAAACAGGAACATCTAAGCTGGGCTGGGCGTCTAAACTGAAGCCATTCACACCCCATGTTATCTCTTCATGCAAGAACATTGCTCCAAAATATTTTGATTGTTAATTTAAACATAATTTAAGTCTTTGTTTATAAACAGCCAATTCTCTGGGTTCCTGAGGGAAGAACACAATAACTCCGAGATTTATCACCCAAATAGGTTAAGATAGATGTTACAGGTGGGTCCTCAATGTACAACTGTAACAGATATTGGAATTTCCATCGTACGTTATGAGGTTGTTAAGCTGAGGCACAACCAACCTGATTTTACCATCTTTGTTGCAGTGGTCATTAAGCAAATACCACAGTTGTTAAGCAAGTCACTGCATTCCTACGGGCACAAAAAAAGCTGGGGTCCAGAAAAAGACATCGTGCGACCGAGGAACTCTGAGCAACAGGCCATCAAAGCAAGCCACTTGCCAACTGCCTGAAATGCAGGCACGCGATCACAAGTGGGTGCATGTGCTGCCATCAGAGCTTCAGAACCGGGTCATAAGTACCTTCTGGGGTACTTGGTCGCTAAGCAAGGACCGCCCGTCTTATGACCTGATGGGAGTCTGACCAGCTGCATTTTGCCTCAGATGCGGCTTCTGCGTCTGTCTCCAAGGGCCGTCCTGGCCCCAGACAGCAACACTCCAACTGGGCGAGGGGCCATCTCGGTCCAGGCTCCAAGAAACCTCCGTTTTCCCCAGACACGGGAGAGGGAGGCGGCCCTCCGGCCTGCCATCGGCCACGGGTGGAGAGGGGAGGACGGCGGGGGGGCCCCCACGGATCCAGCCTCTCTCCGGGGTCGGGGCAGGATTTGGACCACCGAGGAAGAGGAGGAGGAGGGGGTTTTGCCGGTTCGTCTCCCGATTCCTCCGCCGCGACTCCGGCGGAGTAAGAAAAGGGCCGGGCTCTACCCCCCCCCCTTCCACCGGCACCCCCAGGAGCCTCGCCCGCCGGGCTGGAAGACGCCGACCCGCCAAGGGGCCGCCCGCGGGCACCCGGGGAGGGCGGCTGCCTCCGTCGCTCGGGGGGGGGCGTCTTTGAGTCAGGCCGGCCTCCCGGGCACTGGGGAGCCCCCCCCCTCCGGGGAAGGAAGAGCTGCGCAGGGCCGTCCGCCGAGCTCGGGCAGCCGAAGGCGCCGCGCGGCCACCGGGGACCGAGACCTTCCCCGCCTCCCTTCTCCTTCTGGCCGGGCGGGCGCCGGGCCGAACCCGGTCCTCCCGGGACGAGGACGCTGAGATCCCCGCCGCCTCTCCGGGCTGAGGAGGTTTCGAGCCCCGGCCGGGCCCGGCCCTGCCACGGAGCCCGCGGGTCTCCTCGCGGGGAAGGCCCCGTGGCGCTCACCAGGTTGAGCGGCGCCTCCATCGCCTCCATCGGCCGCGGCTGACGGGGCATCGGCGGCGCCGGGCGGCCTCCCCGCCGTCTCCTTCTCCTCCCTCCCTCCCGCGGACGTCTCCCCCGCGCTTCCGCCCGCCGCGACGTCACTGCGCCGCCGTCCGCGGCCGCCAATCACCGGCAGCGCCAGGCCCGCCGCCTCTGATTGGCGGGATCGCCTCGCGCGCGGCTCCCTCTTCGATCGGCCCAGCTAATCACGCACGTCACCCCCGAGGGCGCCTGGTGCCCTGTTTGGAGAAACCAGGCCCGGAGGCGAGCGGCCCCGTACATCGGCCTCCCCGTCCGGCTACTTCAGCGTCCCTCCGGGCGTCCAAAACCCGGGGCCCCAGCTGCCGTGAACGCCTGCCTCGCGGGGGCCGCTGGGAGTCGTAGTTCCTCCGCACACTGGAGGGCGCGCTGGCTGCTGGGAGTCGCCCCACTTCCGCATCCGGAGGCTGCAGAAAGGCGAGGGAGCGAGAGGGTGCCGGAAAATGAGCGGCGTTGTCCTTGCGGAAGGAAGGAGCTACTTCCGCCCCACGAGCGGGGGAGGGCGGGAGTTCCCCGGGGCCGCCCCCTCCTTCCTCCGGGGGGGGGGAAGGGGCTCAGTTGGGAGTCCCAAATGAACTTCTCAGTGTGGAAATTTTTCCTGCAGTGAAAGGAGAAAAAGGAGGAGAAGGAGGAAAAGAAAGAAAAGAAAGGGAGGAGGAGGAGGAAAAGGAAGGAGGAAGATCGCTCCTGATCTGCGCTTCTCACTCTCAACCGTCCCGTCTCGGAAAAGCTTTCATCTTGTTGGTTGTGTTTGAATTTAGCAAAAGAAAAAAAGCTAGAACAAAGGAACACGCGGGCGTGGCTTGGTCATTTTGATCTGCAAATAAAGTAAAACGTTTAAATGGGCAAAATTTACATCTGGAGACTTAAAACTATTTTATGCCTGAGCAAAATTACATCCCCCCCCTCCCCAGTTCAAACTGTTATTGTGAATGCTGCATTTTGAGCCAGAACTTCCGAGGATTCGTTTGAGCCTCATAAGCCTTATCAATCCCTTTCCTTTTCTCTCCCAAAAACGTATTCATACTGTGAAGCAAGCTCTTTCCTACACAGAGTACCCCCCCCTCCCAATTCCTCTTGCATGGATGTTTTGCAGCTGGCCAAAGTGTTTTCTTTTTCTGGGTTCATTCTACCTTTGGATTCTGAATTTGGCTCTGCACGCTGAGTTTTCATAACCCGCTGACATTCTCCATTTGCTCAGTTTCCACAGAATTCATCAGGGAAAGATGCACTTGAAGAAAAGCTGCATTTTTCTTCTATTGCCTACAATTTATTTAACATGTTTGTATGGTGGTCCATCTCACATACATGACTCCATATTGCTAACATTAAAAAACAATAAAAATAGTAAAAAAAAACCTCCCACAAGTTTAAAAACAACAGCAAACTGACTACAACCAAGACCATGAAATTTGCTTGTCCGTGCTATCAGGGCTCCAGGCTTGACAGCAAAACGAAGTTTTCAATGCTGTTTAGGGCCCAGCAAAACTAACCTTTGGAGGAATGATGGCCTGCGCCCTGGCAGCAAAGGGTCTCTTCTTGGGCCTCGCCTTATGGCTCCCTGTTACCGAAGGGACCCCAGCACGTCTCTCCCGATGGATCTTTCAGGATAGGTATGGTCCCACAGGATACTTATCTGGAAATACAACACTTTGCTTGTTAAAAGGGCACATTTTCATTATTTGGCTGCAGACAAATACATTCTAGTTAAATTCTATGTAGGAATGTCATTAGCTATACCAGCAGTCAAATTACTACTGTCAGACATAAAATTCTCAGCTTTATAAACTCCCTTTTGCTATTGCTGATCAAATTAGGGGTTGTTTTTTTCTGAAAGAAACAGTTCATCTTGTTGCAGTTGCAAAATGTATCAATTTATGGCTAAAATAGACAAAGGCATTAATGTGCAAACAAAGTACTTCACCCAAAATTGATATCATATTAGAAAGAAAGAAATACATCCCCTTCAATTCTTTGCCTCTTTTTAAAATAAGAATAGGGAGGCAGCAAAACTAAACCACTTCCAGACAACCAGCTTTATTGTGCTGTTGTGGAAGAAGAGTACTATGCATTTAAAACATGAACAGAAACTTACTTTGAATAAAAACCCATTCAGGCAGATGTGATATATTGAGAATCGGGAGTTTGGCATAGGTTAACCATGCATTCCGCATACCAGGAGGAGAACAACACACACACACACAAACACACACACACACACACCAGTGATCCAGGCATCATGTCTCCCCTCTCTTGAGAAGAATCATCAGCCCTTGAACTTGAAATGGTGCAAGTCCCAACAAAACTAGAGAGTGCAAAGTTGAGGCCGGTTGAATGTCTATGGAGATTCTCAATCATCCAGGTCATGGTTGTCCCAAAGGAGTTTTTTTTCCAAAAGGCAACTAGACTTTCTTGGTCTTTTTGTTTGAAAACATTTCACTTCTCATCCAAAAAGCTTCAGCTGGGCAGATTAGCAATTTTGGATCTCCACAATCCTAAGAAGTGAAGAAAAGCTATTTTTAAACATTACAGTACATGGAAGAGAAGCTCCTTTTGCTGTGGTGCTTCCATTCCCTTGGGAATTCCCAATTGAAATGGGGTGAGGGAAGAAGATGCTAAGGGTTCGCAAAAGCCTGAAGACCCATTTCAGATGGCTCAGCTACTTAAAGTATTTACCAAAGCAAGGACTCTGATTCAAACTTGGGGCCAGGAAAGAAGTGTTCTTGATAGATTCATACAACCACTTGCAGATTTAATACTTTCTCCCTCTGTCTTACTATCCCTCCCCCCCCCTTCAAATGTGCAATTTGCCAGTAGCGTTTGGGGAGAGAGGTAGGGGAAGTTCCATGCAGGCAAATCCCTCCTGAGGAAGGTTGTGCCAAAGCTGTTGCTCTGTTAAGGGAGCTGGACAACGTTCTGCTAGTGATCTTCCACCTGGCCTCTTTCTAAGGCTCAGCATGGAAATGAAAGCACCTGGAATACTCAAGGTGAAAAGTAGGCACTTCAGATATGAATCTAGACATTGAAGAAGTTGATTTAATCCAGGGGGAAAGTGGTTATTTCTAGTTTAATCGTCTTTGCGGAACTCATGCGATTAAAATTGAGAAGGAGGTTGGACTAGAAGACCTCCAAGGTCCCTTCCAACTCTGTTATTATGTAACAATTGGCTCCACTAGTCCAAAAAATAAAGTAGGGCTCAAGGTCTTTAAACTGATTTTAAAAAATGAGGGCAAATTTTAATGACCGCTGCAAATTAAAAGATTTTCTTTCAGTGTTCATTTTTATAACAATATAAATAGCACGGTAAGCTCCTAAAAATATTTTAACACATTTATTTCTTTTTATTCCTTTAAAAACCTTTTGGATAATAGTCAAATTTGTTTAGATTTAATAGCTGAATTCAAAAGCAGAAGATTAAATGACTAAAATGTTGGTGGTTCTACTGCAATGAAAGAAAGGCTATAATTTCACTCCAGAATGGCTGCTCTCCATGTTAACGTGGCATTGATATCCTCCCAGCTGGTGGTTACTAGTCAGCATCGCCAATTGGCCCCATTAACGAGGAGCTTCCTGCAGGATTCCACATTTCAGAGAGGAATTTGAGAGTAGGAGGAAAGTGTTTCTTTGCTCTTTCACCTGTCAAACTCCTCACTTGACCCGCAGGGACAGTCCTCTTCTTAAAGAGACGGAATTCTTCAACCCACACTCTGCCTGGCACGGGTGACTCTTTCTCTCCTCTTTGTGCCTTAGAGTTTTGACTGGGTTGGGTTTTTTTCTCTTGACATGTCGCTGAAGACAAGCTTCTCCATTGCAAGGCTCCATAACCTCCCACACAGTGTCTTTCTACCCCAGAGAGAAAACGGGGCTTCCTTTCTTTCTGAAGAGCCCTTTTCAGACAAAAGAAATTTCCTTTCTGCTGCTGGCACCAGCTATCTTCCTTGCTTTGCCCCCCCCCCGACACACACACACACACACACACACACACACACACACACACACACACACACACGGCAGCTCCTGGGCTTAGCTAGGAATGTCCCCTTTTCACCACCACTCTTGCTGGTGAAAATAAACATGCAGATGTCCAGTTTCTGAACAACATTCTGTAATGAAAATACAGTGAAGGAGCTTGGAAAAATCACATTTTTAAAAGCATTCCATGTTCCCCAGTGTAAGAAGTGATTCCCGAGGTTTCTTGCAACGTAAAAGAATGATTGGCAAATCAGTTTTAATTTGTGGGATAAGCATCTCTTTGAAGCTCAAGTTCTGCCCAGGCTTCTTGCTTATGTGATGCTTAATAAATCTGGGCCAAATTAAAGGTGTTAGGACAACCACCTGCCCTCATGGTCTGGTATGGAGTAAGGAATTATCTTTGGTCACAACTTCCTGGATTTTGCTGCAATGCCTGATATCAGCTGTGTGGGAGAAAGTTATTCAGAATTATAAAATGGGATAAGCTGAGGTGATAGAAGAGATGCAAGGGGAAGGACGCCATAGCAATAGTTGAAATGCCTGATTGTGCTTTGGGGCAACAGGCAGTCCAGCCCTGGTTGTTCGTGACAAGCCCCATGATAGGAAACGCATCGGTCGTGCCTTGGCCCAGTTGGCACTGAGCCTTGGAACTGGCCCTGCCTCTGTCTCACTGTCTACCTCTGCGGAGGATGGAAGCAGCATCCAGCTCCTCTTGCAGGCAGCCCTTGGGCCTGACGGACCCTTGGCTGTGGCTGCTCCTCGGTGTGTGCCAGTCTCTCCTCAACTAAGGGGCAATATTGCCTCATCCGTCATGATTTACTTAATGTTTTCTGAATGTAGCTATTGTTGATTAACATTTAATGTGAACATATCATATGCCTGATATATTATTGCAGCCATTAATCAAGTAATTTTATTAATGAAACGTA